TGCTCTCCTCCCTTCCCCTCCCCGGCTGCAAACCATCCACCCCTTGGGACACGCAGACAAACACCCCCAAGGGTGAGGAAGTGGAACGTGTCAAAGAAGCCTGAGCGAGGCCAATGCCAGGACAGCACCACATGGCCTGCACTTGTGTTCTCATGGCAATTGGAAAAATATAATTTTAAAAAAAAAAAATCCCCATGTTTGGTTTCAGTAGCTCAGGGCACAGCCCCAGGCAGGTCTGGGCTGCGTGAGTCTGCGCGGTGCTTCAGTGTCAGACATGGTGCCCTCTCCGGGTTGTATCTTGGCTTTTCCAATTTAATAGCGTCTCGCGGTGGGAAGGGGGGGCCCGGCGCCGGCGCAAAAAAAACGGCTCACCCGGCCTCTCCCCGCGCCGAACAGCAGCAATCCCACCGCTGCAGGCTGGTTTCATCCATTCCTCGACCAGTGTCTCGTGGGGGGAAGAGAGGCAGGTCTGGCCTCGTTTCCCATCGTGGGGAAAGCGGCCGTGGTGGGTCTGCCCCAGCCGCGGGGCAGCGCTGCCAGCCCCCCGCGACCGCTCGCGAAAGGGAAATGAAGTCTGTGAAGTGCAGCTGAGAGACGCAGCGAGCCTAACTTCGTTAGCAGCTGGTACGCACCACAGAATAGCTCATTAGCGAGCAGAAGTGGGTTCCAAATAAAAGCCATTTCAGCAACTGCAGGAAGTAATTGGTTTAAAGCTAAAATACATCCATTTTCATCCAGGAGCAGCTCTCTCCTGCTGGGGCATGCAGCTACACCAAATGGGATTCGGCAGTAAGTCTTCTCCCTCTACCACGCTGACAGCAGACGGCTTTTCCTCCTTTGTGATTTCTCATCTCTGAGGCTCCGCATCCCCCCAGGGCTGCAATGCCTTCTGCTAATTAAAGGAGTGGGAGATTTGTGAGGTCCAGCAGGTAGGCAGAGGAGCTGAGCGAGCAGGAGGGACGGGGCTCGAATCAGTGGTAAAAGCAATCGCATGGAAAAAGCCTGGCTGGCACGAGGGATCCTGGAGAGCGTTACTGGACCGGCTCCCCCCCCTCCATCAAAAGCCCCATGAGGAGAGCAGATGTTCCCCATAAAGCCGACATTTTGCCGGCTGATGATGTGAACGGGAAGGAGGATCCTTCCTGAAACAGAGCCGAGACCCTCGCTGGGACAGGAAAGCGGGACAGAGCTGCTGGTGGGGAGCATCCTCTTTGCAAAGCTTTGCTCCCAGTGGCAAACGTTAAAAATTGACCAATTTGAGCAAAAAGCTCCTGGACCTCGTGCAGGTGTTTGTACCAGCACAAACAACCACAGTCCAGGTAGGAAATTCCATTCTGGCAGCATTTCACAGACAAGTCAACCCCACACCCACCAGCTCCAAAGGTCAGGCACTACACCTGCCTCTAAACGCCGCAAACAGTTTGTTTTTCCATCGCCCGGCTCTGGGAAGTGGTGACTCCCTGGATCTCAGAGCAAAACACCCCTTCCCGGCCCACTTCGCCTCAGTGAACAGTGTCGAGCACAGACAACAAACTCAGCGGCTCAGTGTGAAGGATCAAGGCTGCTTTATTGCAAAGGTGGACGGGTGACAAGTGCTGAAACGCGAGCTGGTGGCAACACACGACGGAAAAACCACGTCCTTCCCATCGTGCCAGAGACAGTAACTTCCCAACAGGGGAAAATCAGGTGTTTTCACTGTCAGGGGCTCCAGGGCCCCAAAGCTGGCTGAACCACAACGTTTCAAGGATAAGGAGTGGGGACTGAACCTCTGCTCGTTTGAGCACCCCATCCCAGCCAGCTCATGCTGCCAGGCTCGGAAAGCCCAGGGTCCCACGGCCGGTGCGGCGCCTGGATGGCACCGATCACCCGTTCCCCTCACGGGTGCTGGCGTTGGCAGCTCCGCCTGCTCTCCCTGCCCTGGCACGGGCTGCCTCAATGGAGACGCTTGTCCTGTGCCGGGCCTACACATGCACTACCAGCCGTCCCCGAGCCCACTCGGACCTGCAGGGACACAGATTCAGCATTGTCTCAAGCTTGGGGACAGAGCAGAGAAAAGAAACGCCCTGGAGTTTGCCTGGAAGAAGCTAGGCAGCGACCGAACGTGCCGGGATCGGCTGTTAATTTGTGCCCGGCTTTCTGTGGCTGCTCGGGCATGTGGCACGGCAGGAGACAGCCCGGCCTGTCCCCCCACCGCTAAGAGGGTGTTAGCACGTCACCCGGGCTAAGGAAAAGCAACTCTGATCATCCACAAGATTTGTGAGGAGAAGAAACGCCACCTTCCCCAAAGATTTGTAGTTACTCAGGAGCCTGTCCTCCCGCCTCCCTCTCCACGCACATCTTGAGGTGGGCTAGGACGGAGCAAATCTTCCAAAAAAAGGGAGGCCGTCAACCGGGAGGTACCTTCACATCGCTGCGAGGCCCGCGGAGGAGAGCAGGGTCAAGATCAGGACCAGCACCCCAGACTGGTTGACCTGGGGGATCTTGAACCCCTTCCCCATGTCCCAGGCCTGCGGGAGAGAAGAGACACAGCAGGGTTAATTCAACAGGGCTGGGACGGTCCCTGATGGGGGATGTGCCAGACACAGGCAGAAAGACACCATCTTTCTGATAAAAGCTAGCAAGACCACCCCAAAAAACAGCCTTTGGACCACCGGATACAGACCGGAGGGCGGGCTACAAGCGTCCATCACTGCAGGGCAATGAGCAGGGGTCTCCCTGGGTGCAGGCACATGTGCGCCGTGCCAGAGGAAGCTTATCCCCCACCAAGTCCCTGCATCTATCGGCAAAGCCGTCTGTGAGCTCTCCCTAATCCCCAACAGCCGCAGCGCGCCAGGTTCACTTCAAAAGCGGCTCTCCGCTTGCTTCTCTCCTGCTGACAGAAATAGGTTATAAAGCACAGCGCAAGCTGCAGATCTGAGGCGCTAACACCCAAGCAGAGCCAAGCGGGTGTGGATGAGCCTCAGCCCCCGGCGCCCCTGGTTACGGTACAAGCCACGGAGGCCAGGCTGAGCCCAGATGGCAGGGAGCTGGAATTGCAGCCCGGAGCTGGGTGTCCTCGGTTCCCAGGTATCGCAGGTGGGTTTGCACCTCTCACCTGGCTTTGGCCAAGCGAAAGCGGGGTGGCTGAGGGCAGCCTGGGGAGCGCACACCTCCCCCCAGCCTGCCGGCAAGCCCCCGGGGCTCAAAGCAGAGAAGCACCTGGGGCAGAGGCACTAAACTGAACCTGCTCCCTGTTGACTCCCCTTCTGTCATCGATGGGCTGCGCTGCCAAGCGCAGCCAGGGGCCAACGCTGCTGGTTTCCTTCTCAGACAATTTAATTGGCGTCTTAATATATATGTGCAGTCAGAGACTTCAGCACACATTCGACTCATGACGCTCCGAACACGGAGCCGGTTATGACTGCTCCATTTGCCCGACAGCATCTCCACAAGCGAGCGGGGCTCAGCCAGCTGCAGGCCCCGTGCTCCGAGACCTCCTCCGATGCCAAGTGCTTGAAAAACAGATAACGAGCACCCGCAGCACTGCCGGCTGGCCACTGTCCGCCCTGAGGACCCGCAGAGGGGGCTGCTCTCGCAGTACGCTGTTATTGTTCACCCCAATAGCTCAGCCAGGCACCTCCCGGCACTCTGACATGAACACCTCGGGGACAGGATACAACATCCAACAGTGCTCAAGTCCCGTGTTTCCACACTGGAAACGCTGTGAGCCATCAGCGCCCGCAGCACGAGCCCACGTCTACAGTGTGGCTCCACACGTGATGCTCCCCCCGCCCAGAGCAGAAGGATCATGTCACGCTCCGGGCCAGCTGCCTTTGCAATTTGCTCCTGTAAAACCTAACCTCTCTGGAGCTACAGAAAACACAAAATCAAACTACAAAAAGCAGCACATCTTGTACTGTTCCCAGCAAGAAACTCTCAGCTCTCCAGCTCCCCCTCCTTCGTCAAACACAGGAAGCTCAGCTGAACGGAGCTGCTTGTTCCTCACTTCAACCCAGGGCAAACATCACAGGTTACTTTCTGTGCAGGCAGCGCTGTCTCCAATACTCTGCCACACGTCTTCTGGGCTCATTAAATACTATAAAGCACCTGGAAGATCACAGCGCAATGGCTGCATGATGAGGGTGAGATAGCGAGCAATGGGCGGCACTTCTGCAGGGCTCGAGCCTGCAGCTCTGCCAACACGTCCTCTAGCTGTGACGCTGCTCCCACCACCCCTCGTCCATCTCCCGCAGCCGAAGAGATGCGGGGGGATGCTTCAGCCAGCTGTGCCACCCGGTGAAGTACCAGTGTAGCGATGCTCTTTGCAACTTAAATGTACCCAAAAATAGCACTGAGGTTCTGAAGCACTTGAGGTGACTAACTCCCATTTCCAAGGGCACCTTCCCAGATGCAGCACCCAGCGCTCCCACAGCCGGCAGACGCTTCCCTTGCCTCATCCCCCCAAGTACACGCGCGGCCCCTCACAGGGGCTACTCACAAGGTGTCGGACTCCATTCCAGGTGTGGTAGGAGAGGGGGAAAGCCAGAGCGAACTTAGCGGAGTAGATGAGAGCGGGCCCCAGGCTGAGTGACTTCACCATGGCCAGGTAGTGGGGAAACTGCTCTGGGAGCAGAAGCGCAGCCAGACCGAAGAGGGAGACTCCTGAGAAAGACAAAGCCTGCAGGTCAAGCCAGCAGAAGCGTTACTAACCCCTCGCTGCCCGCAAAGAGCCCCAGGCCACCTCTACGTCTCTGGTTTTGTGACACGGCCTGAACTGCCATCAGCTCATGGCAGCCTGTGGAGGAAGGAGGGAGAAGGGCTCTGCCCGTCTGGTGGCAGTGCCAGCTGCACGGTCACAGTGTACGCTGAGGTGCTGAGGACTCAAACTGGGGCACCAACGCACCAAATCTGGGCCCTGCACCTGGGGCTGCATTACTCATACAACACCCAGAGACCAAACTGGCATGAGCTCATGCAATTGCAGCCAAACCAGCCCAAATTCAAAAGGGAAAACGAAGTTCAAAAATGTAAGGTGGCAGCTCTTCAACGACGACCCCAGACCCACATCTCGGGACAGAAACCCTCCGTCGCCAGCCACAGCCACAGGCAGCGACGTAGTGAGGCTGCCTCGGCAGGAACCAGCAAAGGAACCGGCAAAGAGACAGCCTGACACGCGTGGCTGCGCAGGAGCCGCAGCAGCTTCTCCTCCTCTTTCTAGGCCAAGAGGGTTTCTCCAGATGGTGCTGCCAAAAGAATGGGAACGATTGCAGCCAGCAGTCAGCCAAGTTGCGATTCACCCTTCACTCAATAGTGCCTGATTACACTGCGGCACGCTAGCTCGAGCACCTCGGCCGAGGCTGGTGCTGGCAGCACAAATCAACCAGCTGCTTCCTCGCTCAGCCACTTGTCTCCTCAATGGCCTTTGTGTTCGCCCTGCAAGGAGCGCAGGAAGTCAGAGGCTCCTGTAATTACAGGCCTTCACGGAGAGGAGTTGAACACTTCCCTCTCCTTCTCCTGGCAGCTGAGCTGTGGTCAGCAGAAGTAATGTTCCTTCGTGCTCAATCAGCCTGGGAAGGGGACGATTTGCCCTCCGGCAGAGGCTGATGGATCGGAGCAGAAAGGCAACAGTGAACCTGCCAGCTCAGCCCGTCTGACAGCAAGCTGGATGGGGCCAGGCACGTCCAGAGCTCCTGGAGATAAGATCCCAAAGCCGGGTGGTGCCAGCGTGGCTGCCATGCAATGCCCTGGATTCGCGCACGGAGCAAGGCACGCAGCCACCCCGAAGGAGCCAGCTGGGCTCACAGGGTGCAGGCAGGCAAAGTCACCTTGCCGTGCTGGAGGCAGCCGTCAGCTGCTCTCACGCAGAGGATGCGTGCCGCTCTTTGTGAGGCAGAGCTGGGCACAAGCCAGCTGGCCTGGGAGGAGCAGGGCCTGGGGGCAGAGCCGAGCCCTCACCAGGGCTCTGCCGTGCGGATACGGGAGCAGGAGGGCACATGGGTGCCCTTTTCTAGAAGCCCAACTCCCAAGCCCTCACGGGAGGCCAGGCTGGGAAGGGCAGGCTGCAGCCCTCGCTGCTCGCTCTCACTCTGCTGAGTGAAGAACACAAGTCCTCAGTCCTGCACATCTTTTCTGAGTCCCTTTACTCTCTGCCCTTCTGCAAACACCAACCCAGCTCCCCACCCCCCAACAGGGAGCTACCAGAGAAGCACCTTCCTGCTGCCATGAGAGGGCATTAATGGAAACAAAACAGCCTTTCACAGTTGGATGTCCTACCACTTAGTCAAACCATGCAAGTCAAATTGCTGGAGGGAGTTTATCGGTTTTGATGCTGGTGCTGCCTTCTCCCCCACCGGCATCTCTGGGAAAGCAGCAGCCACTCCCAGGAAGCTGAAAAACTCCACCTGTGCTAAGGAAAATCCTCCGAGCTCTGCCTGCCTGTCAGTCTTTCCCTCACACAGGGTCTCCTGTAAGGGTAAACCAGCAAAAAACAGCCCCAGAAGAGAAGGGCTGAGAACTGGAGCAGCAGATCAGCTTTTTCCAGGCTGGGGAAGGCCCCGAAGAAAGCAGCCAGGCCAGGCCGCAGTGCTGCAAAGGCTTCGAAGGCTTTTACGTACGGTGGAGCATCGCTGCCTTTGCAGGACTGGAGCCACTCGCAGCACAAGAGATCCCGGGGACAGAGAAATGGGGATGGGGAGATATTCAGAGGACGGAGAAAGGGAGAGGACAAAGCGCCGGTTTCCCAGGAGAAAACCCATTGCTGAAGCTGGGGACATTGGAGAGTAAACGTCCACCTGGAGTCACGTCTCCGAATCAGTCAGAGGGGTCTTCCCTCCCGCAGCCCCCACCCTCTGTTGCCACAAGCAGGTGGGAGATGCACGCACCTAAGCTCAGCGCAACACCGGTGCCCCGGTGCGTGATGGACATCGCCATGGGCAGGGACCACCTGCAAAACAACCAAACTCGTCAGCAAAACAGGGCACAACACCCTGGAGGCCTCCGGGGCCGCAGGACAAAGCACAGCCCATCTATTCCTAGACAGCTCCGTGCTGCTGGGCGGGTATTTCTGCACTCAGAGTTATTCAAGGAATCCAGCCAGAGCAAAAGGGGAGAGACGGGAATTTGCAGAGGCAGCTTGGGAATGGCAAATGCCACTGGCACGGGTTTGGGAAGGGGACGGGCGTCTGCTGCGAAAGCTTAAAGGGAGATGAAAAAGGAGAAGACTGTAATGCTCCTGCAGTTGAGGAACAAAGGGGCAGGCTTTGGGCATCCAGGCTCACGGATAAACGAGAGAACCTGGAAAAGTGACGGAGGCAGCCCCAAAGAAGCCCTCACTTTTCTGAGGAGGGAACCCGAGAGCCCCAAGTTGGCCTCCTGCCTCCACCCCCGAGGACCGCCAACTCCGCAGCGGGACGCGCCGTTCTGCGCAACCGCCCTCCGCGGAGGTAGCTGCCTTTCAATGGCACATCTAGAAACGCTGCCCTGCCTGAGCACCCCGAGGCGCAGCTCCGGGGGGACTGTACCCCTCCGCAACACCCCGTACAAAAACAGTGAGTGCCATCAACTCCGTGGGGGAGGCTGCGACTCCCACACACAGCTCAGACAGTTCACGGCGCAATGTCGAGGGTCTCCCTGTCCTCCGCCTGAAGTGACAGCGGGAACGCGCACAGCCCTCCCACCCAAGGGTGCCTCCGGGGACAGGGCTATCATGTGCCAGAGTCCAGAGTGCCCCAGCACAAGCCTGAGGAGGCCAAGAGGCTCTTACTCATAAACGGTGATGTGAGGGGACAAGGGACGATTGGACTTGGTGTTCTTCTCCCAGAAGTGGGCCATCTCCTCCTTGGCCGTCGTTCCCATCGGGACAATGCTGCAAAAGAAGAGGAGAGGGGAGGTGCAGACAGACGGGCAGCGGTTTACCCCTGCACGCTCCGCCGGGCTTTGCTGCGGCAGCTTTCCATCTCGCAGGACGTGAGCTCCCGGATGACCTTGACTACAGCAGTACAAAGAACAGCTCCAGCTGTGCGTGGACACAGGCAAGGAGAAGATCGCTGCCAGCTCTCCCGAGTGAATAA